CAACAGTGTGTGTATGAGGTGAACGGAAGATGTTTAGCATGTCAGGAATTATGTATTTCATGAGCTTCATCTACAGAAATTATCATCAGTTTTCTTTGAAGTATGAGTGTGTTTGTCTTACAGTGTTGAAGCTCATCAGATCCACAGCAACCAAATGACTGACTGTTTTAACACATGCACTTATAGCTTTACTGGCTTTTTTGTGGTTAACACTGTATATATTACGGCTGTCCGTTTAATGTGTTAACTTAATTAATTAGTTATGAAAAAAAAACATGATTAAAATATTTTAACGCAGTTAACACACTGGCCCCACCCCCAGACCAGTACATCATCTTACATTTCATACATTCAAAGTCCCTTTCTACAGCAACCGGGACTTCTAATGGCAGCTGCAGTGAGCGATGACTTTACCGATTAGCAATTGGCTCCTTTATTCATAAGGCGGGGTTTCCTTTGATAGAGTGGCCATATTAAGCGTTGCATTTTTCCCCATGTGAATCACCCAAACGAGTGTTACGTCGGTCTTTTCGCATGATGGAAAAGCCTGATGCTTTGCATAAATAAATACCTTGGATGTTAAAATATGTCCTCAGAGCTGTTTACTGTTTGTTTATGGGCAGGTTATGGAGTAAGTCACAGCCAGGGCACGCGATAACCTCCCAGTGCTGGGCTGCGTTGTATCATGTGTCGACTATAGCCTGAGATATTGGCTATAGTCGAAAAAGCATCAAATATTGGCAATATTAAGAGGATTTGGCATTTCCAATTAATGTAGGCCTGTTACATTTTTCTTATTATTAGGCCTATTATTATTAGTTTACTTCTATTATTAAATTACAATTAATTTGCTCAGCAATAATTTCATAGTGCATCACCGCATAACTGATATATACAATTAATTATAGGCCTATAATTCTGAGAGAATATGTGCCATTAAAGGGGTAAACTGTCGTCCATAAAATGCATTGCTGTTCTGTTGTAAGTAATCTTAAAGATTCCTAAATGCATCTACTTTCGGAAGGCCAAATAAAGTGCTTTTGCTTTTGCCTACAAACACACAGCGTCTCCCTGACAAGCTGCTTCAACACTAAACCACGCCTTCTTTCTGTGCGTGAACATTTGGGCGGCATTATGCTAATATTTCCACATAGTGGGGTAGATATGTGGGGGCGTGTTAGAATGAGCCGTTTTAGGGGGGCGTGGCAGAGTCTTAACTTTGATAAAGAATATCTCTTTGGTTTTGAGACTTTAGTCTTTGCAACTTCAGGGATCTTATGTATGCACAATCAGCTTGTAACACTCCAAAGAGAAAGGAAAACTTGAAATCGCATCATATGACCCCTTTAATGCAGTGTCAGATGCTGAAAGCGCCGTCAGTTTTTTTTACTTTTTAAAATTTCACTTTGTATAATTAACTGAGGTTAAGACGTCCACCGGCATAACTCTTGCACAAAGTTTGCACATTGCTTAATAACAGACTTCATGGTTTAAAACCGGCTAAGAGTAAAACGCAGGGCGGAGGACTTAGCCATTAGCAGTTCCCCGCCGCACACGACTCCAGCTCGGGCACGAAAACCAGCCCCATTACGATGGAAACAGAATAACAGAGACTGGTTGATTACACATGAATTACTTCTGTTTAATATTGTTAGTTAAAGGGGTCATATGATGCGATTTCAATTTTTCCTTTCTCTTTGGAGTGTTACAAACTCTTGGTGCATAAAGAAGATCTGTAAAGTTGCAATGACTAAAGTCTCAAATCCAAAGAGATATTCTTTATAAAAGTTAAGAGTCAACCACGCC